AGCTACTCAGGCTTTTGAAAGAGAAGATTTATGCGTGGTAAGAGAAAAATCTGGGCTGTTTTGAGAAGGTCTTTAAAAAATTTTCAAGCATCAGAAAAACGGCAGAATTAGAACACAGAGAAGCGTGGTAGAGGTAGAAACAAAAGAGTGATAGGAATGAACAATTGATACCCTATGACTCAACTGGCTTGGCGGTTGGAAGGCGGGGCTTCGTGATCTAACTGAGGCTATAACGATCAGCGAGCACGCGCGCGACTGAGACGCAGACTGCTTCGCTGACGCGAGGGGCCTTAATCAAGTGACAGAGCCCCGCCTTCCAACCGCCAAGCCAGTTGAATCAAAGGTTAGATAGGGTACAAAAATGGCAATCCAAAATTCTTTATTAAAAATCAGTAAAATTCTACGGAAACAAATCATCAATTCTATGCAGTTGGACCGTAAAATCTCAGTCACTTCTATACGTAGTGCGGTCCCAGAATATTTTCAAGAAGGGGGGGGGGAGAGAGAGAAAAGCAAGAGAAGTGTCCTTATCCGAAAAGGGCATGTTGGCTTGAGCCTTTCGAACAAATTCTTGTGACATTTTCCGAAAACTTTGTGGGCTATAACAAACCTTGAAATTCACCAATAAAGACTCGAAGAACGAAGTAATATATGTCCAAAATGATGAAAATGAAGAAATGAAAAGTAAAGAGTAATTCCTTTCCCTCGAGCTATAAAAGCGAAGATAGATAACTTAGTTAACGACAGAATGTCTAGAAATTTCAACAATGAAACAAGCGAACAATTTCTGGAATATTCTCGAAAGACCGGATGACTTGTCTCTGAAGCGCCTCCGTTGAGTGGCGACCGCAATTTGCCTCAGACCAGCTTAGCATCTTTTTCCAAAAGCGAAAGCAGCTCAAGAGAAATTTGCTGCGAATTTCTCTTACGCTTATCCTAGCGATTCCAGAAGGCCTATCGCTTCCTCGCTGTTGTATAGAACTGGTGAGCAGCGAGAAGGAGGATTGGAGTTACTCTAGCTGACAAAAAACGAATGTGAAAAGCCCACACCATCTGTCCAGTATAAGATTTTCCACATTTCTTCTTTTATTCGTGCTTACACATTCTGAGTCAAAAACTTCTTTCAACAATTAGCACTTTTGACAGTATGCCCCAATATGTCTTTCCAGATATGTTTCAAAAGAAGACGAGGAGCGAGGAGACTAGGTAAAGAAATTTTTGAAAGGGACCCATAGGAGCAGTAAAACTGCGCAAATAAAACACTGAAAACGTTTTGAATTTTTTTAAAATCCCAGATTGGCTCATATACTTGTGAACGCAATTACCTTGCACCCTTCTTTGAAATGTAGGGCTACGAGCCCGCAAAAAAATAGAAAGCATCCTAAAAAAATTTTGTAAGATGTGAGTAGTACCGCACCTTTTGGGTGGAGGAACGAACACTAACACCTTAATTAGGCACCTCCGCGGACTTCTGCTCCCAACACGATGCACATCTGTAGAACGAAAGGACCAGCAGCCCGCGATAAGGGAAGGACGGTTAAAGCTGTCTTTTGGAACGGAACATATACCACCTTGAAGGGCATAGAACACTGATTCCAAATCTGTCTTCCTTAACTGCAAGCTTTAACTGGACAGGGAGTTATGAGCATTTATTGGAGTAAAAACTGCATGATTTTTTTAGGATAAAGTTAGTTGCTAAAATTTTCCTAGCGCTTAAAGGCAGTGCCCCGGCAGATTTTGCATTTCCATCTTTTTGCATGTTTTGGGCCTCTTCGACGCGTAGATCCCGAATTTGAGCTTTTAAACGGCCGAAAAGAAGGCTTTTTCGGGGCGTTTACCCAATTTCCAAAAGACAGCTCGGACGAGAATTTCAATGGAAAATTGGAAGGCCCCGGCACGAAGACCCTGCCGCCTGTAATTTTTGCTTCAAATAGCATGCACAATGCGGAGAGCGGTAGTGGGGTCCCGCGCCGAACATGTAAGAGAAGTCGTCCGAGAGCGCGCCGATTGGGGTTGCGCGCGCCGGTTCAGGGGCCATTTTCTCGGCGTGGGGGGAACATCAACCAGCCGGACTGGGCCTGGGGAAGTGAGGTGACTAGGAACCCCAACGCAGCTATATCCCCTAAGGTGCGAATCTGCCGGGACACTGCCTTTAAAAGAGGCAGTGGAGTGTGGATATAATCAATCAGCTGGTAACATGATTTCGGCTTCGTCACATTTTGACTCAACATTCTTACCTAAGCATATCACGCAAACTGCAAAAAATCAATAAGCAGATGAGGGCAATGAATGTGTCCTGAACGAAATGGCTTCATTAACACAAGCCCAACCCTGTACATTATGTATACCAAATTTGGTTCAGATTCTATTACTTCTTCTGTCCTTTTGGGCAGACATGAAAAATTTTCTATGCAAACCTCATAAAAAATCAATAAATTGATAAGTACAATCCGTGTGTCCTGAACAGAACGACTTATTAGCACACGCCCCATCCCATACATTATGCCTGCCAAATCTGGTTCAGATTCTATGATTTCGTCTATCCTTTTCAGGCGTACATACAAGATTTTATGAGCAAAAACTGCAAAAAATCAATAAATCGATAGAGGCAATTGGTAGCCCCCTAACAAAATGACTTAATAAGGCACGCCCCATCACATACATTATTTCTGCCAAATTTGGTCCAAGTTTCATGACCCATTCTATCCTTTTTGAGCGAAGATACAAAAAGTGACTAAGCCAAATATTATACAGGGTGTCAGTAAAGTATGTATACACTGTTTGATCGTTAATATCTTTCTTTCCAACAAGTCTTTTGCCTTGCTTCAGGTACCTTTTTGTAGAGCTGGCTTCAACTTAGATTCGCAGTATAGAACGAATCACCAATCTCTCTTTATTACTGTAGGATTACGGTAGAAACTTCAAAGAGGGTTTTGAGCCATGAAAGGCCATATTTTGGCTCAGAAAGGAAACAAAACAGCCTGAAAGCTTTCACAATAAGCTAATTAAAGTTGTTGATTCTAAATATAAAGTTCCCAACTTGTTATGATGCTTCATTGAAGAGTTATGCCGGGTAAAAGGTAGCGGCCATTTTTTCAATCTTCTAAAAAGTGCGGTTACACCGTTTAGAAAGCTTCGCAATATTGTGAATAGTTGAGTATTGAACTCCGCGTCCATAAAAACCCTATTACACAAGTTTTCACATTTTGAAAAATTTTGAAGTGGCAGCTTTTTCCACATTGACACCATATGTTTCAAGTTCCTACCGTAATCCCACAGTAATGCAGAGCGGTCGGTGATTCTCTCCATACTGTAACTTTAGGTTGAAGCCAGCCCTACAAAATGGTACCTAAAGCAAGGCGAAAGACTTCTTAGGAAGAGGGATATTAACGATCAAACAGTGTATACATACTTTACGGACACCCTGTATAAGTATTGATGTTTATTCTATTCACACATTTGATTTTTTGGTTCAGTAAATGCTCATAACTCCTCACGCAGAAACGCTCCGCAGATAAGTAAAAACAGATTTTGAATGAGCGTTTCATGCCCCTCCATATAGTGTACATATGTTCGGTCTCAAAGGCCACTTCGACTAAGCATCCTTCCCTGGTGAGGTGTTCGTTCCTCTACCCGCACCCCTTTCTCCAAAAAAAACTTGTCGAAGCTCCTTTTTTTCTCCAAAAAAAACTTCAAAGTGGTCACTGGCATCACTGTTTTCTAAGATCTGAAGAAAGGGATTTTATAGATTAGAAACTTTTATAAATTAGAGAAGGCTTTCACTCTGAGAATGTAAAGTGAACGTTTAACCAAGTATTGTGCTGTTGAAGTAAGTGATTGGTCATCATAAAACATGCTCGTAGAGATAATGGAAAATCAATATTCTGTATGAGAGAATTCTAATTTTCAGCAAAAATTTTCAGCGTCTTAGCGCTTGAAAAAATAAGAGGTTTGCAAACAAACTGGAACTCAACAAAAATTCAACTAGTTCTACCTGAGTGAAGCAAATCCGACCTGCAATGCACTTGAATTCTTCTTTGCGCCAATGTGTGACGTATCAGGTGCGAAAACCAGATTGACTGGACATTCTCAAGGACGTTTCTAATTGAAATTACAAAGGAAAACTTTTGCAGCACTAGCTAGTTGAGAAGACTTGAGAGAGAATTCGATAAGTTTGCAGTTTGCTGGAGAGAACCTTTAGAAATAGATGCAAAAGGGGCTATAACCATTCCGCACTGAGATTACCTAGCCATTATCGTTGTCATGCCAACAATAGACCCGTTAACGGAAAATGAAGAAAAAGACCCTAAAAATTTGGAAATGATGAATCACTCAAATTACAGTAGGTCCTTCACCTGAACATATACTGCGCTAAATTCAGCTGCAATCACAGTTAAAAAGGACAAGGTAATGGATAAAAAAGTAAGTCAAGAAGAAGACGACTTCATTACGCATAATCTTTGACTCATGTGGCTTGGCGACTGGAAGGCGGGGCTTTGTGGCCTAATTGAGGCCGCTCGCGCCCGCGACGCAGTCTGCGTCTCTCCTGTGCGCGTGCTCTCCGATCATTACCTAGCCTTAAATAGGTCACGAAGCCCAACCTTCCAGCCGCCAAGCCAGTTGAAACAAAGGGTAAATAGTCAGTATATTTTATAGGAGATAAGAATCAAAAGTCATACAAAAGGATAAAGGTAAGTATAGTGAGCATAAAAATGAAGAAATGAAATCCCTTTGTAGAACTATTCCAGCGAGAAAACCAAGAACTGGTTAGAATGTAAATAGAAACGAGTGAAAAAAATTACAAATCTTTGAGCAAAAATGGGATTTATAATGGAGAAAACAAGGATGGAGAAACTTAACAGAAAAGTAAAGAAAAGATGCATGAGATCGTGATTTACAGATCCAGCAAATAGCAGACTTTCGTTGGGCAGCACTAACTATTCTTATCCGAACGAAGAACACACCTTCAAGGATCAAAAAACCTGTACATGTTGTTTGTGTTGAGATGATCAATTATAGTTTTCAAATTCTTCATTTCAATGACACAATCGTGTCAGCAACAATACAACTAACAATCTTCTTCAAACAAGACCAACAGTGCATGCATTTTCAGGAAAATGAATTGATCAAGATGACAACGTCGAAAAAAAAATGACCCTTAGCTATGGAACAATTCAAAGGGAATAGAAATAAAATCTAAGAAAAAACAATCAAGAGATCACAGACTACATGGAAGCCTTATTGGCTTTCCACCATGCTCGAACCTTTTCGTGGCCTTCATCCGATACTATTACCAGCTTTTTATCGCTGTCAGCCCATAATAAGATACCTTCTCGTAAAGAAAAATCACGAACACCTGAAATTCTGTTTAAGCGTCTAGATTAACAGAAAAATCAAAAATCACATTGATGAAGAGGAAATAAACCAAGATAAGGTTCGTAATAAAAAAGCCGATGCTTCAAAAAAATCACAAATCTTGAAGTTGCGAATGCTTACCGATAAACTCAGAATCCCCTTCAAATGCTGAGTAAAGTGTAGCTTCCGTAAAAGTCAGCCGTTTGCGCTCATCTTCCCATAAACGGATCTGGTCGGCAACCTAAGCGATGTTCCTCATAGAGACGAAGATTCATGGGAGAAAAGCATAAATCGCAAAAAAAAAGAAAAGTTTAACTATATCAAAATATTTTACCGTAACAGGCAAACAGTTCAAGGGTCCGCCAGCAGCTAGGCATTGCTTGTGGGCGTTCGCTCGCAAAAAGGAGATTATTTGTGAGGCCGTAATACCAACCTAAATTTGTTATGTAAAAGGAAAAATGATTAATATAGATGATTAATATACTCATATTGAAAACCATGAAATCTCCTTCACCTGCAATGCTCTTCTCACCGATTCCCTCGTCAAAATCCCAACGGACATATCATTGAACCGATAAGTCATTTCAGTGAAAGTCGACAGAATAGCCAATTGTAGACTAGAGTTTGTGTAAGCATATAATCGGAAATTCGTCTCCACGATGATATTCCCACTACGACGTTCGTCCATTCGTCGGACACAGCCAGCATTTTCATCATCAGCGGCACCGGTGCAGAGGTTCAACAGCAAAGGGGTGAGAAAGAACACCCTGAGAAAAAAAAATCATGTGTAATTTTGCGCAGATATCAAGTGTGGTTACAAACATATTAGAGGAATATAATATATCTAACATATGTATGAATACATATTTTTGGTAATTTGAGTAAGAAATGAAAAAATATATCCTGATCACTATGTAATATATTCTGGATTCGTTGTTTACCACTTGGTCACCCCTGATCCGTGGAACACGGCAAACGAGGAGAGAGCAGGCGGAGAAATCATGATGAAATACAGATGTTCATTTTTGGATCGCTGCCAAGCGGCATGCGTTTTGGAACGCTGCCAGATTTCTTAACGAGTAACCAAGATTTTCGTAAAAGGGTCACACGTATTTCGAAAAGCAATCAAGAGTGTCGCAATGATTTTGAGAATGGGCCCAGTGTCCGGGTGTGTTATTTGTAACTGCTTTTTTTCGAGCTTGTTATCCCAGAATGTGTCTAATATGTTGTACTCCCATTAGTTGCTTTTCAAATAATGCCAAATTGCGTAACAGCATGACTTGAGCTAAATTCATCTATGTATGGTTCACTTTTAAAAGCGTGACGATGAGTTGATTGCGGTCCTTGCGCAGACAGGAGCATAAAACACCCATACAAAAAGGCATCACCTCAACACTTAGCTCAGTCACTTCCAGTGTCTGGATACTATCGTATCTAAGCAGAAAAACTATTTGATTAAAGATATAAACCAAGAAATGGGAGTGCGTGCGTGTCGCGCGCGGTCGCGCCATCGTCACGATTTTTCAAATGTCCTATACTCCTCTTGGTAAAAATGCTCTAATTAAGAATAGTCACTTTAGGATTATCTTGCTTCCGCGTGTAGACAAGAGAGTGCGGTTAGTAGCTTGGTCTCGCTGGTACTTTTGGAAACTTCTATCTAATAACAGCCTTGCTTTTGCTTGTTAATGGGGCCCGCTGGTGCTTTCTAGGAATCGGAGCGGCACGTAGGTCAATTGCATCGGGCAGGGGAACAGATTTTTGTACGTTTGGGGCATTTCTAAGAATTGAAAGTCCAAAAGTGGCATTACGGCAATTTGAGAATGAATACCTCATTTCGTTGTTTTCTTTTTGTAGAGTCGTAAGGTTGGTTTTTTTATATACGGTCTTCAAGTGGCACATAGGGCACAAACTTTCTTTTTGAATAGTTTCTATCGGTCTGTAAGCGGCACGTAGGGAAATTCGATCGGGCACGGAAACAGATTTTTGTACAGGACATTTGAAAAATCGTGAAATGGCGCGACCGCGCGCTACATGCACGCCACTTCTAGAAACCGCAGTTTCTTGGTTTTCATCTCTAGTGGAATGGTTTTTTTTTATTACATATGATAGAATTTACAAACTGGAAGTGAGTGAGCTGAGCGCTGAGGTGGTATCTCCTTGAATGAGCGTTTTATGCTCCTGTGGGCGCGGAGTCCGCAGTCAAATCCGTCCTCACGATTTTTTTGAATGACCTGTACATTTGGGGCAGTTCTCAAAACTAAAGGTCCTAAAGGGCACGTACGGCAGTTTGAGAGTACGCTGTCAGTTAACACTTGATTTCGTTGTTTTCTTTTTGTAGGAGTCGTAATTGACTTTTCTTATATATACGGTCTTCAAGCGGCACATACGGCATAAACTTTCTTTTTGAATGTCACTATCGGTCTCTAAGCGGCAAGTAGGGTAATTTGATCGGGCAGGGGATCAGATTTTTGTACGTTTGAGGCAGTTCTTATAATTCTTAAACGGTCTTCAGGGGGCACGTAGGGCATGAGCTCTCGTTCAGATAGGTAATATTGGTTTGTGAGCGGCACGTACGGCAATTTGATCGGACATGGAAACAAATTTCTGTACGTTTGTGCAGTTCTTATGATTGACGGTCTCTATGGCTCAGTAGTCGTGCTTTTCGGGGAGGAATCTCCTTTTGTAGTAAAGGTTCATATTCCCTTGGCAAAAAAATTGAAGGATTCTCTGATAAAGTTCGTAGACGATTGATTTCGTTACTGTCGGAGTTGATTCTGGGAGAAAAGTGTTTTTTGTAGTACACATAGTTGTTATGGGTGTATTTCTACTTCCAAAACGATAGGTGTTCTGCTACTTACTTAACGATCTTTTATGGAACTTGTTGAGAAGAGCTGGAAGAGCAAATTTTCTTTGAGAGGGTAGAAAAGTGGGGACTTTTGTTATCTGAATGTCTCTGTGAGGAGGGGAAATTTGTAGAAAGAGCGTGGTAAACGAGAGAAAAATAATATTCTCCATGCATGGTTGTAGCAGGAATTTCGAAAAATGCTGTATGATTTGTGGAGATTATCGCTCTTCGAGCAGTTCTCCTTTTGTAAATGCGTTTTGCAAAAATGTTTCCAGGAAAGGAATAGGAAACTTATTTAGAAATATTTATGGTCGCAACTAAGCCCTTATATTGTATCTGTCCCGACCCACTTGCTAGCGACCCGTAAGGTCGCTAGTCTCAATAATATATGAAATGGAAACATCCCCATAGACGCATTCACGACAAGTACTACAAAAACGGTTCTTTTGCGCGAATACAGTACCAAATAGTAAGCCTACGCTAAACCTGCTTGTGCAAAGTGGTCTTCATCTCGAACTGTACCCAAATTTAGACAAGGTGCAAGTACGGCAAGGTAACAACTTCAATTTTTGCAAGGGAAAACGCTTCGTCCGGTTTTTTTAGCATCAACGGTGCTTGGGCTGTTTACATATACCTGTAGGCAAACGTGAACCCGGGTCCAAAGCACCATTACATCTTTTGAGGAAAGGAAAGATGAAAATGCGTGCAATTGAAAGTTCCGCCCACTCAGCTGGGATTGGCCAGCATGGGTCCCGACTCGATATTAACGTCCTTAAAAAATGAAGAGGCTCTAAGTGCTCGTGATATGTACATATTCGAATTCCTTATGCATTCCAAAGGGTATGTCGCGGCCAGTAGCCAGTCATGTTTTTTCTGGACATGGGATTACGGTAGCCTACAGTTGACTTGCAGAAAAGCCCAACCCCCATGTGAGTTACCATATTCCACCTAACCACCCTTCTCCATCCCTCTACATGTTTGCCAAGTGTTAACATATCCCAACTGATAAAACCCCCAACGTGGTGATATCATTTAGAGCATTGTTACTAACCATTCTGTCCTAGTCGGGCACGTTTGGTGGACTGCCTACTAACCTACTGGTCAGCAATCCTACTAACCACTGTTGCGCAATGCAGCTAAAAGGACGAACTTCTCGCAGTGAGGTGTTCTATATTAGTAAAAGCTTCAAAAAGGTGAGCTCCAATCAAAAATCATCATCGAAAAAATAGCCCTCAAACTACACTTTCAGACTGTCAGTCTTCCTGCTGCACGCGCATGGCGAGTTAAAGACAGTGATGTCGCCGCTCGAGGATATGTGCTGTGCTTGACAAAACAAAAGGTAAGGAGTATCACGAAGTTTAAATTTCTTCTTGTTTTAATGTGAAGATTTAGGGTCTGCTTTTCGATAAAATGACAAATTTGAAACCGCGGCTTGTAACACTAACAAGAAATGGACTTCTTATCATTTACTGCAAGGAAGACAAGGGTAAGATGGACTCAGACAAACACCGGTCATGTGAACCATAATTTTAGGATTCGTCGTAGATGTAAAGGATGCAAGAGCGATGACCACAAAAACTGACCACTTCCATACAAAACGACAAACTTATGTAGGCTAATTACGTTTTCTGCACTAATTTAAAGATTGATGAACGCGCAAATTACTTAGCACTACAGCAACATTTGTAAGCATTCAACCGGAGGGACTGCCATGTGAAAAAAAAAAGATAGCTCATTTTTTTGATAACAACTGGCATTCCCTCACTATGAACTCCATATGAGTCTGGAGCGGCAGTACACGGAGATCACAAGCTCGAAAAATAAAATAAAAATAGCATAACAAAAAAAGGGAATTTCCGACAAAATAGCGCAAAAAAAGATAAACAGGAGAAAAAATTACGAATAAAAGAAGACAGCTTTGGTAGATAATCATATGTCTTGATGTTTTACAATAGCCAATTCGTCCATAACTGCGAAAAGTGCAGATGATAAGGACAGCAAAAGATCGAGACCGCAATGACTAGCGGTTGCCACCGAATATAATATCATGAATCAGGAAAGAGAGCAGCTGCTCAAAGCAACATCCAGGCAATACTGGGTACTCGGTCTTCTTATGTCTGTGATGAATAAGAGTTTTAAATTTACTTGAAAGCTGAACTACTGTCCAATGGCAGATAAATCATACCGTACCCACTTTCTCGAGAGAGTAGAGAGCCAGTTAGAGCCCTCGATTACGGTAGAATACGGTCCAAATTGGATTCGTAGGTAAATTTCTAGCCGTCATCAATTTAGAAGCTGCTTCGACCAAGACCTCTTAATTAGTGTCTAGAAAACCTAGGCACCCAGATTTGCCCAGTAATGCCTTCACACTAAATGACTCATTTTTAGCGCCGTTGCGCTCTCAAACTGAAGTTCAAATATGGCTCAGTATCAATGATCATGTTCAACAACGAGATTCCTCGATGGAGAAATGCTGTGACAAATGCGCATGATGGAATTCTGCGAAGTAAATTGCACTTTATTGGAGTCAATCGAGCGCCAACGTTGAGCATACAAAAGTTAGAAAATGCGCAGATGAAAGCGACTGTGCTGGAAGGTGCGCCAGAGGACGAAAGTCAGTTTTTTCTTAAGTTTCGCTTTGACTAATCCAAAAGTAAGGTTTTTAGAGCTCTCCACATCAAAATCTCCCACCACCAAAGGGTCGAAATCCAGTGTCAATACCTGCGCAACTGCTGAAGGCCCATCTGAACCTCAGCAGACAAACAGCGAGGTGACCGTGGATATGCCAGAAGAAAGTGAACCGATTACAGTAATCGAAGCTCCTTGTCGGAACCGTGCGCAGACAAAAAAGAAGCCTTCCCGCATTGTCATCACTTCTGATGACAATTCTCAATGGGAAACATTTGATCCTAGTGTGTGCGACTCTTCTTACCAATGGCTTCATAAAGAAACGAAAAAACCTGGGCGACCAGCTAGAAAATGCGTTTCAGACTCTACAAACAGTGGTTTGTTCACCGAATTAACTGATGAGGACGACAGCAGGACTGAATCGGCGTAAGATTATATTCTACGATATGTCCAGCACAACTACAGTATTATCGTTTCAGAAAATCCGTTCGCTGCGGTTACCATTCTGTCTCAACCTTGCGATCGCGACTGGAGGCAAAAATCCGCGGCACACCGTCACGAAAGTCGAAGTCAGCAAAGAAGCGAAGTCCAACACTTGCCAAAATGAAAGAGGTACCTTCTTGACCTTTACAAAGCGCAGGAAGTTGGTCTTATGATATTTTTTGCAGGTTCGTGCTGCATCCCTAACCTCAATCGAAGAGTCGACGCCTAAATCTCGACCAACTATCGTTATCACTCCAGCCACTCCTTCCAACATAGAACGACTTCGCCGTGCTGGACGATCCCAGTCCGAAACTGAATGCAGCTCTCGAACGCGCAGAGAGAAACCAGCCGTTACCTCCTACGACGACTCACTACTCGATGCCCCTCAATCCGAACGTCTTACTAATTCACAGCGACAAGGTGAAGATTGGCGAAACATCTCCCTCGACAAGTACAACCCAAATCAATGGTGGGCTCAGCCGCTGCAAGTGTAAAAAAATGTAATCACTTACTAATAATAAAGATACAAGATGATTTGTATGGAGTTCAACGCATACTGTACATGATATATAAGGAACTATGATCCTTGCCGATCATAAAATTTTTGCATTTTCAAATCTACTCAAAAGCGAGGAACATCTATAGAATACAGCAATCATTGAAACACCGCGAGAAAACGTTGCCGAAGACAGAAACGATATATCTAGTGAATTTCTAGTCAACAATAAAGCGCTAAGCGTCTGTCTGTTTGTCTGTGTGTGTATATATCTGTCTGTCACGAAATTCATAGAGCGTGTTGTAGCCAAGGTCTTGAGCTGAAATTTTGGTCATAGCACCCTATCAGCATGTGGGTAAATAGCGCAAAAGCACAAGCCAAACCGATAATTGGAACTAAAATCTGCGCGTCAAACGGGTCCACGCGACTTTTGGTTGACCAATGTGGGTCGGCGATTGTACTTTTTGCGAAGTTGTGGATTTGCTCAGCAAGTAAATGTGCAGATCATAGACTTAAGTCCAAAAAGTAAGCAGCAAAAAATCTATTTCACGCAAAATCAGCGCCAAAAAGGAGTGATTGTTAGATGATCAATTTGTCAAGATTACAGCTGATCATTTGCGAAGATCTCTGCTCAGGAATGCAGCGGACAAAAATAACTGTCCTTTGCGGGAACTACTCGTCAATAATAATTTCAGTAACTGACAGAAATTCTCTTATAAACTTCTACGCAAGAATTTTCTCTTCCCAATTTACCGCTCCTACATGGAAAAGTTCAGGATTGAGTAGTTTTTTTTACAATTCGTTCATGACGATCAGCATCGCATAGTGTGTTTCAGAGTGAAGATCATGCGAGCAAGAGGAAGGCATGTAGAAAGAGGACTGCGAGACTCTGCCAAGCAGAGTTGAAGCACTGATGACTAATAATAAGACAAATGAATACGAAAAAACATGAAATCTATGCCACTTATATATAATCGTCATATTCTTGAGTAAAGCAATTAGTTTTCATGCTGTTTGGACATACGACAGGGCAGATATGGAATTGGGGCATAGAGAATATCCAGAACTTTGCGTTTAGGGGAGATTTTTAAAAGCAAGTAGAGACGTTAAAAACTATTGATATCTAAAAATACTACTCGAATTTAAACGAGGAAAAATGAGCTTTATGCATAGTCAGATAATTCATGAGAAAGATAAAAGCGAAGACTATGCAGAAAACTTGTGAGAATAATAGCAAAAACAATAAAAAATTTGCCAACACTTTTGTATTTCTCAAGGAAAAGGTGATGCTTTGCGGATGAATGTTTGGACTTCGACGAAAAAACGTAGTCCTGCGACAGCAAATAAAGCACTTGTATGATGGAAAAAGACAAGTGTGTATGCTCACCCATCTTTTCGCTTCCTAATAAAAATTAGTCCAAGTTCTCGCATATGCATGGCTAACGTTGACTGCTCCTCTGTCCAATTGGGATTGATTTCAAATGCCGTAGTGGAGAGATCCGCGCCTGCAAAACTTGCAGAAGATAGCAATAAAATGACAAAGCAAAAGTACCTATAACTACACATAGAATAATCCTGATGAGGAGATCCATAATTGGCCGGATATCTCGACCTTTTGCCGTTTCAAGTTTGAGATATTCTAAAATCAACGACATCGTGACCATGTAAATCAAAAAGATAGTAGCACCAAAGGAAAATTAGTGAGCACTCTAACCCACCTATCATATAAGTCCAGAGCTGCTGAACAGGACTAAGCAACAAGAACTGGAACCCAGCGGATGTTATCTCAAGATCCGCCGAGCCCTCGTTGTCACTGGTAAAACCGGCAGCGGAAAAGAGCTCACGCGTGGTCGACGATACCGAATTCATATTCTTATCAGATGGTAATGCTAGATATCTGAATAGCGACTTACTGATATCGAATTGCACAGATATAAAATGGAATACCTCAGTATGCATTCCCATCGTTCACCAGCTTTCTTGCCAAGTTCTTTCTCATTTTGCCGTCGTTTTGGATCTACCTCTACGGGATTGATTTTCGAGCACTTTTGGGCACCGAGCATGATGGCTCGTAGGTAGGACTGGCGGAATGAAGGCTATAACAAAGCAATCAACGAGGAAAAGAATGGAAGAAAGGGTAGAAGACATACGTGGAGATTGCCGTTGCCAGTAATGAGGCCTAACCTGGCTAACAACTTTTCGGAAGACTCAAGCTCCGCGGAAGTGTCGTGGGACATGGCAGCACTGTAATACATCTACTGAGGTACAAACCGGAAACGCTTTTGTGTAGAGTCTATGCGAGATGGTGCAGGCTTAAAGATAAATAAGCTTGCAACTAACGCACCTAACATTAGAGTTCCATATCATTTTGATTACTACCTGCTGTGCAACATTCGGCAGCATACGAAATGCGAAAAGAGCTGAAAATATACAGACTGTACATAAAGAATCTGATAGAATAGAATGTTTACCACATGCTGGCTGCGTGTAAAGGTATGTTCTGTCCTCGGCGCCCAGGCTGCTGACATAATCTAGGAATAGGTTACCTGATGATGGCAATGTCGCAGCAGTAGCCATGAGGCCAGCCTATAACAACATAGTATACTGGCTTGGAAGCGATATTTGTGGAGATTCTTCGCAGTTGGACATCTAGCGCAACTCATCACGTATACTTCTAAGTGAAGCACGAATAAGTGTAGGTGACGTTACTGTCTACTGCGATGCAATCAGTTCTGTCTCCAACTTCTGCACTGTTAGGAGTAAAACTACAACTTAGTGAATTCTTTTCACTAATGGATCCGCTTTTTGGAAACTATGCAGGTCATAGCAGAAAATTTGAAACCAGAAGTGTTCAAAGTCTTTAGTTGAGTTCAGATAAAAGACTCAATTCAAGAAAAAAGACTGTCTCTCTTTGAAAGTAGTATAAAGATATAGAAAATAATGTGTAAAAAAACACAAAAATTGCACAAGTACCTGCTTCCAGTTTACTCGCCAATGATCCCCTGGGCGAGATGATCCTTCACTCTTCCTACATAATAGCAATACAGTATGCGAAAATCTATGAGACCGCGGTATCTCGGAGCAGTAACTCTGGTCGATACACAAGTGTAAAAATGATATTTATTGCATGCATAGAGTTTTACACATCAAAACACTATTGAACTGCTAGAAAGCGACACCGACGCAAGGATAAAAATGGCAAATTTGAAAGACAAGACAACTGTAATTTGATATCAATATGCTGCACAACATCTAACTCTAGTACCCGTGAAAATAAAAGCATCTTTTTGATATAGGAAGTCACAACGGAGCAAGGACAGGAAATATGTATGAAATGATAAGCGGGTGTCGAATCTTTACCTAACAATAAGATGACAATAGATTAGGTCATTTCGCAACTGCTTCACGACCATCTCTAAGCTGTGCAAGCCCAACGGTGTTGAACAGGAACGTTGTGTCCGGATGTTGGCAAAATCTTACACCAAACTCACGCAGTTCCAGGGAGAGTTCCTAAACAGTTCTTGGTCAGGAGAACAAGGCTGATGACAGGATAAATCACTGAACATCAAAAAGAACGCTTGGAAAAGCTATGAGAGTATAGTATGGATGAAAATTGTAAGCGAAAAAAGTGAAATATCGATAGAGAAAGAAAAAGTAAGAATTGCGTAACAAAGAGTGAACGCAGAAAATTTAAACTAACCGAAGCTGATATGCTACCACTCTTGAGCAAATTCTTCAATGTTATGGCAACTAGTCGGACGACCCTGTTGAGGTTTGAAGATGGCGTAGCGTCCAAACAGTATCGAACACAATAGCGGACATAGTCGTTCAAAGGCTCACGTGGCAACTCAGGTCGATACTAAAAAAACGATATACTACGAGATATGCAAAGCTTAGAAAATGGTGCCAATATACCTGGTAAAGGCGGGTGACGACCTCCATGCATTGTACGGTAACATCCATTCCTTGTACTATCCGCATTATTCTATAAAATGCGGAATGTTTAAAGTGGCTTTTCAACAAATAATTACCTATTTGCCAGTGCCTGGTCAGCAGTCACACATAAATCGATAACTTCAATAGCTATCTGAATTGCAATAACGCATATATACAAGCAAAATCAAAATGCTAACAAATACGTGGTAAGAAGAGAATCAAAAGAAGAGAAATTGCGCAAACCTTAACGTTGAGGTCGATCAAGCGTGACAGATCCGAATCACTCATTTGCACGAACTGGCTCACAAACTTGTTATTGGCGTCCGCACATTCGAGAGACTTCAGCATCTGTTTAGTCTCCGACTGCCTAGATAGGAGGATTTTGAAAGCCGAGTTGTGGCAAAATTCTAACTAATCATGACTGTTATGACTGCTAACACATCAACCACTCACGTTAGCGATTTTCCATCCAACAATCTTTTTGTGAACTCCGCCATTTGCTCCTCAGTAAGCTCTTGGGTAGGCGTAGGATTAGCTGTTGAGGGAGTAGGTGGTTTATCTGAAATGGAACCAAGTAGATCAAGAAAGTGTAGTGCAAAAAGGGATAGTTGATGATATAGGAACTGACCAAGATATGAAGCAGCTTTCTCTTTTGATGGCCCAGCTTCTGAGGGTTTAGCATTGGCGACTCGGCTGCGCAACTCCTCGATATTCTCGCATCCAAGCTAAAACTACTTTAGAAGTGCTACTACAAAACAAATGGTTGGTAAGCAACGATCCTTACGTACCCTGAAGCTAGCGCAAAACGCCCGGAAACAAATAACATTCAAAATGAGAGAAACGTTCTCAAACTATATAGATCAGAAATTAATCGTTGTTACCTCGATTGGTTGGACAGGATATAATGGTGGCATGAGTGGAGTTGTCTTGAATGGCAGCTGCTTTAACGGCTCACACGAGATTCGGTGCATCAAGGACATAAGCAGAGCATCTTGGCTCGGGCTTGAAAACAACACTTATTTAGCTTTCAGAAAACAAATGTTAAATTCTTCAATCAAAGTAAAAAAATTGAACTTACACTTAAAAAAATATTCCAAAATATAGCGCAGACGAAAAGGAAACATACTCTTGAGGGTCATTGTCCTCCGGATCAGGAAATGGTAGAATCGCCGGAATTGTCACCATGTCTAGATGCTCGGGCCAGCGTGCCGCCTGTTTTGCATAGAACTGCTCAGCTTCGGTGAAAGTAAGATTGGCCTACAACAAAAAATCAACACTCAACGAATATAATTGCGTGACTCACATCGTCCATAGCTCCACCTGCTAGTAAGTCCGAAGCGCTCATGCTAGCAAATTCCGCAGTTTTTCCATTCAGAATGCGCAGGACCACTGACCGCTCGATGCCAGCTGGAAGCGGGTAGGTTACACAGATGTCGTCAACAGCCTTTGACTCAACCTAGAACATGTCAATAAAAGGTGATTTCAAACCGCAAACTGTTTTCGAAAAGAAGAGTTATAGGAAGACCATACAACATCTTTTTCAGAACACCCACCAGATTTAGGAAGAAAGACATGAAAGGATGTCCCAGGATGTCGTCTATGCCGCCAGGGTTCCTACGTCGCAGAGCAACTTCTATATCACGCACTCTAGAAGGAGGGAAGTTGAATAAAGTCAGGGCCATTGTAGGCGACCGACGCCAATAAAATGAAAAAGTGCTAGGAGCCACATCCCACCTGTAAATCAGGTAGACTGTGACAATCCTGCTGGCTACGTCATCCGTTGGAGCTAAGTCATCGTATATAGCAAGAAGAGCCATACCAACAACCAATGAGCAGCGCTCTTTGAAGATCTAAATGAAAATATAATACATGTAAGCCATTCCTTGTTAAAAATAAAATAAGAAAAAAAATGACAAACTTCAATGAATTCCGTTGCGACTTTAGTCAATGGTTTGTTGTGACATTTGATGAGCCTAAAAAGATAATGAAAAAACTCCTCAACTTTAACAAAACCTAGAAGATTATCAAAAGGCAAGCTCAAAGTTGTCACAGCAAACCTTATTATATCAGTTGCATGCTTTCTTGATAGCCCACATCCGTCATCATTCCATTCTACGAGGTCGTCGAAGTCGTCCGCTCCCGCATCTTTCGTTCGTCCCTTCTTCTTTTGAGCTTTCTTTTTGCCGCTCATCTGAAAGGTAGAAGATTAAAAACACATTTTGGAACTTTAAAAGAATACGCATAGAACTGCGAAAAGATATGAAAACACAAATCGCGTGAGGGAAGACAAAAATAATACTAGGGAATCCCCTTCTCATTGGGATCGGCCATACTATTCCTGCTATTCCTACGACTCCTGCGAATCCTGTGAGTCCCGCACAGTTTAGACGCCGCTTAAATGAGCGCGTGTTGCGTAAAACAACAGTAACACGCAACACGCGCTCATTTAAGCGGCGTCTAAACTGTGCGGGACTCACAGGAATCGCAGGAATCGCAGGAGTCGTAGGAATAGCAGGAATAATGGCCGACCCCATTATTTTACGGCTGGAAACACGACACAAGCGCTAGCCGCGGGAACTGGCGTTCACTAAGAACACGCCTTGGCGTTCATGTGGTTGCAAGGATTAAAAGAGAATATGCGCAAAAATTTCGACAGGCAGCTGAACCGTGTAAGGCACATGCCATAGTTGATCCATTCGACTTGATCCACTTGATCTACTTCACTATTGGTCAAATCAGTGAACTGACTAATAGCGAAGCGATCTGCTTGGTCCACTTGATCCAATCCACTTCGCTATTGGTCAGTTCACCTGATTTGACGAATAGTGAAGTAGGTCAAGGGGAATAGGCCGATCAAGGGGATCAACTATGGCAAGTGATCTAATCTGTATCAGCAGCTTCTAAGGACATCAGCAGTTTCCAGGCAAGCCATCGCAGACCCAGCGGCTTTTGATCTTCTTGGGGATAGAGTATAGCCAAAGCTGACAAGATGGCTAACATTCATTTCTGATTAAAATCGCTCAGATGAGGCAGAGACATCAATCGAAGCGTATCCGGTTATGGTAGAGGTCAAAAGTGTCCAAAAGCACCCAAATTTCTTGGGTAAAGGACCATATGTCGCCGCGCCGACTGCTTGCAAAAACGCACCTTCATGCATGTGCAAGTTTAACCATGCATGGAGGTGTACATTTGTTACAACTGACCGCGGAAACCGCCCCTTTACGGCGACATATAGCCCTCTGCCCAAAATTCTTTAGTCTCTTTTCACGTTCTTCTTACCTCTTCTCACATATCATCGGCTCCACGATTCGTGTAGAGGCGGGGTTTTGCTAACTCAAAGCGTGACGGTCTTTGATAGCGAGAGAGTACAAAAAACAATGCTATGGCGTGGAGGTTTGACAAGTTTACCTGTGTTATCAGGCAAAGTCTGCAATACACCTCTACGCGAATCGTGGAGACGATCATAAGTACCGCGCTAGCCTGAAAGCGGCAGCATGCTAGCGCGAAGCATACCGTCTGCACCCCAGAGAGGTTCCCATGTGAACCAGCGTGCGTACGTGGTGCGACGCTGCCTTTCGCTCTTTTTGACACGTTTCTCCTGAGATTTCAACGGAAGTGCCCGAGGTTAACACGTTCAAAAGTGCGAAAGGCAGCGAGATGACGTGGTACCTATGGGGACCTCTCTGGGGCGCAGACGATATGTGAAGAGAGGTGAGAAATGTGGAGAAGATACATTAAAGAGGTTTAAACGTTTTTGTGAGCTTCTGAATGTTTGAGCGAAGTCTAACGGGTGTCTTGCCTCGAATAGAGTTCACGCGATTTGATCGTCGCATTTAATCGCCGCGATTTTCATTCACTTTCATTTTATGATCGTCTCCACGATTCGTGTAGAGGTGTATTGCAGACTTTGCCTGATAGTACAGGTAAACTTGTTAAACCTCCACGTCATAGCAATGTCCTTCGTACTCTCTCGCTATCAAAAACCGCAAAGCTTTGAGTTGGCAAAACCTCGCCTCTACACGAATCGTGGAGTCAATGATACATGCAAAAATTTCGCGTTGGAAAAGTACAGTCTGTTCCAAATGGGATCAGGCCGAACCGTCGGCGTAAATTCGCCGCTCGCAGCTAGAGGTCTACGCTGCATATGCGCGCTTTCGGAGAGAGCAAAAGGACGGGTGGAGGACTACATCTCAGACAATCGCTGGGGGCAGGTGGGCACCGGAAAAATAGATTGCTGATTTCTCGCACCCCGCTCGCGGATTTTTTGGAAAGCAATCAGGACTTTTCGGAAGACCGCTTGCTGAGTCAGCGGATTTTTGAGAGACCGCCTGTTGAATTTTTTTCGCTCTTATCTTTTGCAGATATATTGCTGAATCTCTGAGGAATCGAGAACTCAGCAAGCGGTCTTCCGAAAAGTCCTGATTGGTTTCCAAAAAATCCGCGAGCGGGGTGCGAGAAATCAGCAATCTATTTTTCCGGTGCCCGCCTGCCCCCGGCGATTGTCTGAGATGTTGCCGAATGTGGAAGAGTCCCGCGCGGATTTCCTGCAGGAACGCATGTCCGTGCATGTACAAGGGTGCGTATTTGTCGCAAATGACCGCGGGGACCGCCCTTTTTCGGCGACATATAGTCCTCTACCCCAAAAAACTGCAGAGAGAGCAGAGAAGCAGGCCGTGACCGCGAAACCCTAGTGACGCGGATTCCCGCCATGCCAATTTTGGCCTGGTTGGAATTGAGCAGACTGTATCACACCGAAATGCAAGCTAATCTGCATGCAATGATATCATTACAGTTGTCTTGTCGCAATGAATCGCGACGATGAAGTTGCTTGAATTCTGCCCGAGGCTTTATTATTAGGTCGAACCGCGCAATCCTCTTCCAATGGGGTCCTCCAGGCTCGAAAAACTCTAGCAGCGGTATACCTCTTTAGATCCGGGCATATGTTCCTAGTCCCAGCAGCCCCTTCCAGCGCCATACCTATTTCGCATAATACCCTTTTTGTTGCCTAGTCCTCGAGCCCACCGCCAAGGACAGGCGGCTTTGTGTTGTCTGGCATCACGGCCGGTCTGTTGTTGTCAAATCCAACTTTGCGGACTACAAATGCTGAGCCCAATGGTTGGACCCGGAGACTGGACACCGGTAAAATCAAGTTTGCGCGCCGTACACACATCAACAAACTTTCGTTCTCAGTTCGTAGCAGACCCGCCGTTGTATTCGGTATATGTTGTGGTTTAATTGTTTCTCATGTTATCATACTCTTTATCGCGGATCGCGATCAAGGGAAACCAGTAGACATTGCTGCAATGTATAAATGTGTTTATGTAGTTTCAATGTTTGTTTACGCATGCTTTACTCATTGCCCATTTTGGGTAATGATCAGAGTTGAGCAAAAGGTCAGGCACAAGTCGTTCAGAAACGACCCCCCCCCCCCCTCCAAAAAAGCCCCCAAACGACCCCTTCTTGATCCTCTCCAGCTCCGGAACCTCAGAGTGTGACACTATGAAGAAGAGTTTCTTGCGGTTTTTTAATTTTAGGTATGATCGCTTTTCTGTGATTTTACAAGTACACGCAATTTGGCGGCGGATTTTAATGTGAATCGCCCCAATGAACGAGCCAGAAACTCCCCAGAGGTGGTGTTTCGCTCCAAATTTTCACTGGAGCAAGAAGAGGCTATGTGCGTAATACTCATACCAGGAGAACTGATTTCTGAATTTTGAAAACAAGTTAAGTGGGTCAGGCGCAAGGCTATAAAAGCTCGGGCGGCCTGACCTTTTAAGGGGTTGCGCCCGACCCCATTATCTTTATCTCCGAAGCATAGGTGCGATAGAGGGAGCCGGGCTCTCCCCAGGTGAAGGGGGTCTCGGCTGTTCCCGACCTTCCAGGGTAAAGGGGGTATGTGAGTCTAGGGCGGGGGGGGGGGGGAAGAGAGAAAAGGTAAAAAGCGTGGTATGAAGAGCTCTAATTTGTACCTTATTTAGGCACAAATTGAAAAAAAAATTAAAAATTTTTAAAAGAAATTAAATTTTTTTAAAAAAATTGACTTTATGAAGATCTGTGCTCCTGTTTCATTGCATCAACGAAAAACGAAAGCAATAAGGTGCACTTTACAACCTTATATATTAGGTTGGCACGAAAGTTCTGTCGCACCATTTTCAAAAATTCATAACATCTGATTTCTCCATCCGATTTGACTGCTTTTATTTTTATATGAAAGTGTAAGTCATGCTCTTTATAATGACGTCTTAACTGCTTATTAATGACCATCTATTGCATAACAGGAGCGGTAGAAGAAAATTAGTCAAAATTTGAATTTTCTGTGTAGGGTCATAAAAAATCGGAAGTTTCAACAAAAATCGGAGCAGTCGGTACTGTAGGTTATTTCACCACCTCTTTCTAACAGTGCAAAGTTTGCGCCGATTGAGCGTCTCTATGAAAAGTTATGATTTCCCTGAAAAATGCCAAATAAATCAAATTCGCCCTTTTGTATTGCTTGCTCGAAAATCATAACTTTTTATAGAGACGCTCAATCAGTGCAAACTTTGCACAATTAGAAAGAGCTGGTGAAGGAACCTACAATATTGATTGCTCCGATTTTTTTTGCAAGTCTCCGATTTTTCATGGCCCTACACAGAAAATTCAAATTTTCACCAATTTTCTTCTATCGCTCCTATCTATGCAACAGATGACCATTACTAAGCAGCTGAGATGTCGTTATAAAGAGCATGACTTACCCTTTCACATAAAAGTGAAAGCAGTCAAATCGGTTGGAAAAATCAGAAATTATGAATTTTTGAAAATCGTGCGCAAAAACTTTTGGGACGACCTATCCAATGTGTTGGCTTTTATGGGTAACCGGAGCAAATGATTTTTGGAGCCGGAAAGAAAAAAGCTCTAACATGCTTTATGCCATTCGAAAGCTGAGATCATGGAGAATCGACGTAGACCGTCGACTTTTTTCTAGGTCTTCTGTGCCGCGAGATATGAGGGATTTTATGTGCTTAAAAAATTAACTGATTTTGTGTCCTCACTTTCTGCTCTCCAAATGAATGCTACGAGAAAGTCGACGGTCTACGTTTGTTAATGAAGATTTGCTCTTCAACACAGATAGATAATCAGCAGTGATTAGGTCTTCATTTGGAAATCTGCTGTTGAAAATGACCATATTTTCAGATAAAATGAGGTGTATCTCTCGGTAGAG